AACCTGATTGGGTAACACTTTTCGCAATTGTTTTGAAGCTGCAGCTTCAGGTGGTCCCGGAACCAAGTCATTGAGACCTGCTTCTGGACGTAATGTGGTTTTATCAGGTAGTGCAGAGCTGCTCTTGTTGTTCTTAAGCTTAACGCTTCCCTTTTTCGCAATCTCAGCCCTTGCTTCTGGCTCCGGTTCGGCTTCAATGGCTGCTTTTCTCAAAGAGGAATCTGGCAAAATAGAGGCGCTAGCCACCTCAGAATCTTGTGGGGCCTCTTTATCAGATCCCTTTGAAGACTCTTTGAACCAGAATGACCATCCAGAGGGCTTCGGGTCCTTCACAGGTATCGTAGCGGGACTGCTTGCCCCTTGCGTATCATGGTCTTGAGTTGGTGCAGGTTCCGTCTGCACGTCTTGCGTGGTTGGCTTATCCACGTCATCTGGAGGCTTGCTTGCAGGCTCTTCTGGCCCCTTTGTTGATGAACCGTACCACATTTGAAGCCAAGAACGTTTTAGAGTGTTCTGCGAACTATCATGCGTTTCTTCAGGCTTATCCTGTTCCGGCCTATCTGGCTCTGTTCGCCCCTGATCTTCCGAGATTGCCTGCTCTTCGTCTTTCGATACAGGGGGTTTCACGGGTGATTCTTCACTAGGCTCTGGTGCACTGGGCTCTGGCACAGGCTCTGGCACAGGATCTGGTACCGGATCTTTTGGGGCAGAATTGTCGGTTGTTGACGGGGCATAGAACCATGAAAACCATCCACCCGTTTGGACAGTCGACGTCGGGCCTGCGTCAGCACTGTCCCGGTTATCATCTGTAGTAGACTCTGGAGCAGCACTCAAATGGCCCTTATCAGCGTCATCCGCAGCTACTGTCTCTTGGTCTCTCGGTACTTCTTCCTCGGTCGGTTGCGTTGTTATGCCAGCCGGGCACGACTTAGCATCCTCTTCAGGGGTGAATGTAGTGCCATCAGAAGCTATGTTTATCTTCGTTGTCGCAGCGTCGGCGGGAAGAGACCTGCTGGATGCGCCGACTTTCCGAGTAAGCTGGAGGGAGGGATTTCGGAATGGTTTAGGAGAATCAAGCTGAGGAGTTGAGCGGGAAGTGAGTCGGGGTGCTAAGTTTTGAGCAGCGGAGATGCTCTCACGGGCAACCTCGGTAACGGGAGCCGCTTTGGATGCTCTGGAGACTGCCGGCCAGACAGCAGGATACCAACTCTGATAGTCCAAATGATATATTAGATACACGGGACGGATGCAGAAGAAGATATAGGGCTACTGAAAACCCGGACTCACCGCAGTGCTCCCCCTGTTCCTTGATTCTGCATGGTCTCCGCCTGCGGAAAGCGATGTAGCACCATCGTCGGACGCTGTTGGGGACTTGGAGTCCGCGCCGAGGGGGCTGGGCTTTACTCTCTTACGAGATCCCATCGACGGCATGAAAGCTTAACTAATAACATCACCGAATGCGAGATGAGGTGCAGGTCAAAGCATGGAAAAGCCGAAGACCAAGTGAAATGAGATGCTATGATGGGGGAAGGCCAGCAGACTAGCCACCAGCGATGGCAGCCGGAGGATCAGCGCGGGTCTTTGGTTGGTTATCAGCCAAATCGGGCCAGCATCACGCCTGACATCACGTCACATGCTCTCCGCTGACCGTCTTTGTTTGCCTCGCCGCCTCAGGCGGTGAACGGGTGTGCTGTGGCTGGTGTGCAGTGCTCCTGCACCGCCACGTGCATCCGGGCTGGAAGGGGAAATTTTTGTTTTTCGGGGCCGATGTGGAGAAGGCCAGGAAAGGATCCATCCAGGCCGCCGATAACTTTTTTTCCTGGATACATTCTTTTGTACCGCTTTCACCATTCCTACCCACTTGCATCCGCAGTCTTCTGTTTAGCGGTTTCGTTTTTTTGTCGAGTGTGCCTCGACCCCCCATCTCTCAAGATGGCGATTCAAAAGAAGGTAATGCGGCATTGGTCTGTCCCGCGGTCATGGAATTCCAGTACTGACATTGACTTAGCATGGTAAAGGTCGTTTGGATAAGTGGTATCGCCTGGCGAAGGAGAAGGGATACAGAGCGAGAGCTGCTTTCAAGCTGATTCAGCTGAACAAGAAGTATGGCTTTTTGGAGAAGAGCAAAGTCGTTCTCGATCTTTGCGCGGCACCCGGTGTGAGTACAACCCATCTGTGTGATTCTTAACGCGGAGTCTGGTGGCTGACCACTCTCGCAACACAGTCGTGGTGTCAAGTTGCTGCAGAATGCATGCCCGCACAGAGTATCATTGTCGGTGTCGATCTTGCGCCTATTAAGCCGATCCCCCGAGTCATCACTTTCCAGAGCGATATCACGACCGAGAAGTGTCGCACAACAATCAGACAGCACCTGAAGCACTGGAAGGCTGATACCGTACTTCACGATGGTGCCCCCAATGTTGGTACCGCCTGGGTTCAGGATGCTTTCTCTCAGGCAGAGCTGGTGTTGCAGTCTCTGAAGTTGGCTACGGAGTTCTTGGCGGAGGGCGGTACATTTGTTACGAAGGTCTTCAGATCCAAGGACTACAATCCGCTCCTGTGGGTTTTCAAGCAACTCTTTGCGTCCGTGGAGGCGACGAAACCTCCGTCTTCTCGAAACGTTTCTGCAGAAATCTTCGTTGTTTGTCGCAATTACAAGGCACCAAAGCGCATTGACCCGAAGTTCCTCGATCCCAAGCACGTCTTTGCAGAACTTGCGGACCCTACCCCCAACAACGAGGCCAAGGTGTTCAACCCGGAGAAGAAGAAGCGCAAGAGAGAGGGTTACGAAGAGGGCGATTACACGCAATTCAAGGAGGTCCCGGTTACTGAATTCATCAACACCACTGATCCCATTGCCATCCTGGGTTCATGCAACAAACTCAGCTTCCAACAGTCACCAAGTGGTGACCTTGCCCTCGCCACTCTGGAGAGACTAGAGGAGACGACCGACGAAATCAAAGCCTGCTGTGAGGATCTCAAGGTTCTGGGTAAGAAGGAATTCAGGAACCTGCTCAGGTGGCGACTGAAGGTGCGGGAGCAGTTCGGTCTCGCTGTGAAGAAGGGTGGTCAAGCCAAGGAGGATGAGACCGAAGAAGTGGCGGAGGTCGCTCCTATGGATGACGAGCTGGCCATTCAAGAGGAGCTGATGCGCCTTCGTGAAAAGGAAACCTCCAAGCAGAAGAAAGAGCGCCGCAAGGAGAACGAAAGGAAGCGCAAGGAAATCGTTCGGTTACAGATGCACATGACGACACCCATGGATATCGGAAAGGAGCAACTGGGACCTAATGGCGAGGATGCCACATTCTCGCTCAAGCGCGCCGAGAGAGGTGGAATCAGGGACACCCTTGCTGCCGGCCATGAAGCAACGATTGAAAGTGATAGCGAGGACAGTGCTTCCGAGTCTGACTTCGATGAGAGCGATGACGAGGAAGACCGTCTGGAGCGGGAACTTGACAACCTGTACGAGCAATACCAGGACCGCAAGGAGGACCGGGACACGAAGCTACGGGCAAAGAAGGCCAGGAAGGACTTTGAAGCCGACTCCTGGGACGGCTTTTCCGATGACGACAAGGAAGATGGCGAGGACTCCGACGACGAGGGTCTTGGAGTTGGCTCTGCCGGCGACAAAGCTCCCAAGTCAGCTTCCCTTTCCAACAGTGCGTCGCTATTCTTCGACCAAGATATATTCCAAGGCCTAGAAGACATCGACGATGTCGAGGATGAAGATGACGAAGTGGCAGATGAAGATAGCGCTATCGAAGTTAAGCCTAAGGGCAAGGAGTCTGAGAAGAAGAAGAAGGCAAAGGAAGCCAAGAAGCCTGTCCAGGCGATGGAAGACTCGGATGAAGAAGATATTGAAGAGCTTGAGGACCCCCGGAAAAAGAACGGGCAGCTCGGTAAGTTCGCAGATGTGGCATGTCATTGCCTTGTACCTGGACATATAATGCTGACTCGACTACTTAGATATCGACATCATCACTGCGGAAGCTATGGCACTCGCCCAACAGATGGCTACTGGAGAGAAGAAGTCTTCTGATGTGGTTGATGATGGCTTCAACCGATTTGCGTTCCGCGATAGCGATGGTCTCCCCGAGTGGTTCCTTGACGACGAGAACAAGCACAGTATCCAGAACCGCCCTATCACCAAGGCGGCCGCAGCCGCAATCAAGGAGAAGATGCGCGCCATCAACGCTCGCCCGATCAAGAAGGTTATGGAAGCCAAGGGTCGCAAGAAGTTCAAGGCCGCCCAGCGACTGGAGAAGTTGCGCAAGAAGTCTGCACTGTTGGCAGATGACGAAGCCCTCAGCGAGCGTGACAAGTCGCAGGCCATTGCGAGGTTGATGAGCAGAGCTACCAAGAAGAAGCCCAAGCAGCAGGTGAAGTTGGTGGTTGCCAAGGGAAACAACAGAGGTATCTCTGGACGTCCTCGTGGTGTCAAGGGAAAGTACAAGATTGTGGATTCTCGTATGAAGAAGGATATCCGGGCTCAAAAGCGTCTTGCCAAGAAGAAGAAGAATTAGTGATGGGGCTTAGTTGTGGAACTCGAAGCGATCTTTTTCATCATTGTCCATGTATATACCCGGCTAACATTATAGATCTCTGTATCATATCCATGGTGAAAGGGGTACGTACCTGTTATTGCGATCTAAAATTCGTTTCCATGTTCCGATGTAGATGGCCATGAAGCTGTCTCCTTCAGGACATATCAACATATGACACTTGAACTACCATGATACTGGCCAGTTATTTGCTTACGTCTATAGGAGTACTACAAACCTCTAATTAAGATGTAATACGTAGGGAAAGATAATTTTGGGATGATAAAACGTAGTAGATAATGACATTTCTTGAGAATCATAGCTTCTGCTCGTGTGCCTGTAACAGACACAGCATCATTCGGATATAATGTGTAATCTACGAAGATATTATATATCAATAATCCATCCAATTCAGGCAGATAGAGACATCATGGCCGTGTCGGTTCGTCGCGTAGCCTTCTATGAAAATTTAGAGGCATCGTTCAAGGCTTCTGCTTCCTTACCCATTCTATCCATCCAGCGATCAACAAGATCTTGGTTCTCCTTCTGCAGCCGGGATGACCGCTCTTCAGCCATATTCAGTTGAAGGTTCAACGATGCCAGCTCGTCTTGGAAATCCTAAAGTGGTGTCAGCAACACTAGAAGGACTCCAAGAAAGGAGGGATGGGAGCAGCATACCTCCAATAACTTTGCCTTCCCGCGCAATTCCTCATCTCGATCCTTTAAGCGTAGTTGAAGATGGGCGATCTCATTTTCAAATAAGCGAATCCGTCTGCTATCCTGAGTGCTTCTCTTCCGCAGCTTCTCCAAGTCAGCGGTCATGCGTGTGAGCTGGTCCTGCAGTTCGGAGCGTGACCGCTGCGCCTCAGCCAGGTCTGCACGTGTTGCTAGGAGAGTCTCTTGTAGAGATGGGTCTTGTGCTCCTGCTCCTGATGGCGCCTTGCTGGAGCGGGATGCTAAAGTGTCGGATGGCACATGCTGTGCTTCAACCGGATCTGAGCTCGGTGGGTTGCTAGCCGCTGCTCCCTGAACCGTGCGATCGGCCAGTTTGGTATCTAATGGTTTTGATCATAATGGTCAGCGAATGGTCAGAATACTTCCGGAATGTGAACTACCCCAGAAAGTGAGGATGATCGACATACAAGCATCGTAAATAGCTATGCTGGCTTTCTCTCGTCGATCACGAGCCGCCAGCGCGGCGGAGTACTCCTCTTTCCAGTGGGCCATTTGATAGCAAGTGGTGATAAGGTGAGAGTCTATCTAGCGGACGGACGGCGGACCCCTCATATCATGGAGCCATGGTGGAGCTCAGAGTCGCCGAGGGAGAGACGTATAGCTATATTCACAGATGTTACTAGGTTAATAAAGGAACCAAACGAGTTAAACCACGACAACCCCAACGACCTGCCACACTATTTGGAAGCGTGAGGGGAAGAATGGCTGCTGCTTGTCACTGACGGGTGGATGGGGCGCTGACCGCCATCTCCACCGCCCACGTCCGCGTGCATCATCGAAAGCCGCCGTCGCCGTTAGCTCGGCTCAGTTCACCGTCCAGGCCCAACCATCACTCTTCCTGTTTGTTACTTGACAACAACTACCCGACTCGCTCGGTGTCTCTGCCAACTGACTGCATCCCTCGCTGCGCTGACGGGATTATATTGAACATCCCTTTGCTTTTTCCCCTTCTATAGACAGAGCTTGACTTGTCCATACACTCACAGCCCCCTCACATCTCCACCATGTCGTCACGGAAGAAGGTCTTGTTGAAGGTACCTCGCCTCCCCCAACTCATGCAAGCCAAGCCGCCTCGATGAAAGCTTCAATTACTCACATAGCTCTCCGAATCTCTTAGGTTATCATTCTGGGTGATAGCGGCGTCGGTAAGACGAGTTTGATGAACCAATATGTCGGTGGCCTTATCTCCCAGCTGTTCCTCGGATCCCCACTCACCCTCATCTCGCTCAACAGGTCAACAAAAAGTTCAGCGCAAGCTACAAGGCCACAATCGGAGCCGACTTTCTCACCAAGGAGGTTCTAGTCGATGATCGGCTAGTGACAATGCAGGCATGTACTTCCCCGCTTGCGAAGATGAACGGAGCGATTCTGGGAATTGGAGTTAACCAGTTTTCAACAGATTTGGGACACTGCAGGACAAGAGCGATTCCAGTCCCTGGGCGTTGCATTCTACCGCGGTGCGGACTGCTGCGTTTTGGTCTACGATGTCAACAATTCGAAGAGTTTCGAGGCCCTTGACAGCTGGCGCGACGAGTTCCTGATCCAGGCCAGCCCTAGGGATCCTGAGAGCTTCCCTTTTGTAAGGACTTCTCTTTCCTTCAATCTTATCTGACCTAGGCGCATGATTTGCGCGATGGCCAAGACTGGTAGACTCGTATACTGACTAGGATTCAGGTTGTGATTGGTAACAAGATCGATGTGGAAGAGAGCAAGCGGATGATCTCTTCGAAACGGGCTATGACGTTTTGCCAGTCGAAGGGCAACATTCCCTACTTCGAAACGAGTGCCAAGGAAGCCGTCAACGTTGAGCAGGCTTTTGAAGGTTGGTTACTTATCCTGGCTACTCGAGTTCAATGCATGGCTAATTTTGCACTCAGTCATCGCCCGGAGCGCTCTGGCACAAGAAGAGGCAGAAGAATTTAGTGGGGAGTTCAGCGACCCGATCAACATCCACCTTGATGGTGAGCGTGACGGATGCGCTTGTTAATGACCCCTTTACTAGACATGCCTTGCGAACGTTTTATATTTCTGCTTCAAGCCCGCTCCATTTTCGCTGTACGCGCCTCCGAACGCTCCCACTTCGTGCTTGTCAGAGCACATCAATGCCTCGTATGAACTTTTGAGCTTGGAAGAGCGTAGCTGTTCTTTTGGGAACACCTGCACTTATACAGTTATGGAGCTCCTCATGTGTCACGCTCCTTGTCTTGTGTTTGCCTGCCAATTCGCATGGGATATCCGTTGATGGTCTTGATTCTGCTTAATATTTCCCTTTTGCTTTTCTGGTACGAAGGTACTATCATGTTCTGTAGGAGTCTGGAATATTATTGCTTATCTGCTGAAAGCTTGTACATTATAGCCGGTTAAGTAGGCAATTACCACACATCTAGTGTTGTATTACGCAAGACCTATGCTTCTCATAGTCAGTTCAAATTCCCAATTAGAACCCGAGAAGCAAGGAGGATCTCCGCTGGCCAAAGAACCAGTGGTATGGTGGAGGAGATCAGGATCGGCTAAGCGTCGCGTGCTTATCTCGGCGCATCTCGTGATGCTCGACGTTATCAGTTCGGGTTACACCGCAGAGTCACTCCGCCTCCGGTTTCCCTCTCTCCTCCGGTGAATCCCCCCGGTCTTACTCCGTCCACGCCCCCTTCTTTATCGCCTGCTGGAACAGGTGGTGTTCTCAACTTGTACGGCCTTTTATTTGCGCCCATGATCTAGGACAGATCACTCGCGGTCCGGGGGATCTAGTATACCTCGTATCGCGTGCGCCGGCGGGGAACTCTATAGAGCCTCGACTCACAGCGAGTCCTTCTCTTATCGCCCGCTACTGACAGCCAGAGAAAGTACGCGGAAAGGACCCAGAAACCATGGAAGTACCCGAGACCACGGAAGGCTCGATCTTGGTCGGCGCCGCGAGACGAACATTGGGCATTTGCCTGCTGCTCGTCGTGGTCTTCCTATGGACGGCCTCGAATTTCCTCGCCAGTGTATGTTATGTGCTTGACTACTCTTGACCCTTCATTGAATAATATACCCGGTGCAGTGCTAATCTAGTCTCTATCTATGTTTCACAGACGATATTCGCCGACGATACATACTCGAAACCGTTTTTCGTGACATACATCAATACTTCGTTGTTCATCCTTCCTCTCTTCACAATTCTCTCTAGACGGCTCTTGAAACTATGGCGGGCAGGGAAGCTCTACCGGATTCGATCTTTCAAAAGCCTATTGGAGCATCTCGATTCTCACGATACGAACGTCGAGGCACGGGGTATACTCAGTCACAATGCAGGTGGGGAGCGTTGGCGCAACGAGGACGAAGACCCTGAAACATGGGCTGGTGCTAGGTTCAATGCTGCATTCCGGGGTCAGCCATCTAAGCTGGGATTGAAGGCGACAGCTAAATTGAGCTTTGAGTTCTGTTTGTTATGGGTAAGCATATCGCTACACTGAATCTTTAACCTGTATAGAAACGCAGAAGCTAACAAGCACCAGTTCTCCGTGAGTACTAGCGATCAGTAGAGTCATCCATCCTCCAAAACTGACTGAATCAGGCAAACTACTTCGCAATGGCCTGTCTCCAATACACAACAGTAGGAAGCACCACTATCCTCACCTCAACAAGCGGTACGTACGCCATCACCCCGCATCATCATCCCACCAATAACTAACCCTAAACCAGGAGTCTGGACCCTCATCTTCGGCGCCCTAATTGGCGTTGAGCGCTTCACCATCCGCAAACTCATCGGGGTAATCGCCTCTTTAATCGGCATCATCCTCATCTCCCGCGTCGACATGTCACCCGCCGACAACCCCAGCAACAACAATACCAGCGGCAGCGGCAGCACCTTCCCCTCCAAAACCCCCGGCGAGATCGCCCTCGGCGACGCAATGGCCGCATTCAGCGCCATACTATACGGCGTATACACCATCGTGCTAAAAAAGCAAGTGGGAGACGAATCCCGCGTCAACATGCAACTATTCTTCGGCTTAGTAGGACTATTCAACACGGTCCTCCTCTGGCCGGGCTTCATCATTCTTCATGTCCTCGGTATAGAATCTGTAGGAATGCCTGATACGGGGAGAGTCTGGACGATTATCTTGGTATTGCCCCTCTCTCACGTCAGCAATACACAGATAACTAATACCAATTCTGAATATAGGTAAACGCCCTCGCCTCCCTCGCCTCTGACATCGCCTGGGCCTACGCAATGCTCCTCACCACGCCACTAGTAGTAACCGTGGGATTGAGTCTGACGATCCCGCTCTCGCTCGTGGGCCAGATCGTGCTTCAAGGGCAGTATGCGAGCGGGTTGTACTGGGCTGGGGCTACGGTGGTGTTCTTGTCGTTTTTGGTGGTTAATCAGGAGAGTCGCGAGGTGGATGGGGAGGGGCCTGTGGTGGTGGTTGGGAGGGGAGGGGCTGGTGCTGGTGCTGGGTATGAGGCTATTCCTGGGGATCGGGATAATGAGTTTGGAAGGGATAGGTGATAGGTATCTATACCTGCTATGGAGGTGTTGGTACGTTAGATAGGTAGTAGGCAAGGGGCTTACTTTACTATCACTGATTGAGGAACTGTTGAGGATGGAAGCAAATTTGGTAATGAAATTAGCATTGACACAATGTGCTCATGTCTGGAGCACAGAGAGCATTATTGGTACTAGATAGAATTACATGACCACAGTCAGACACAAGGTGTGCTGTGTGGGAGGAATGGAAAGAAAAAGAAATACATGAAGAGCACGCAAACCCCGCATCACTTTTCATGTCATCCAGGACAATCAAGCCATACGCGAGACTAACCCAACTTGTAATGTCTCTTACTCGCGGGGTCTCAACATCTCATACAATCAGTTATAAAATCACAAGACATTAAGACAAAATATCATGAAGAACATTGGGTATGTATCATCAAACAGGAGCAAGTGCGAAGTAATATAATACCGGCGAACATAGAAACCACAAAGGAGAATAATTGGGTAAGAATTGAAGTAGACTAGCCAGAATCCAAAGTGATATCGAGAAAACTTGAAGGAATGTATAGAAGGGGCGGGATCCGAAGGGTTCCGGAATCTGTTATACAGTGTACTTCTTTTAACGGAGGCCTGCTGCTCCGGGCGCAGGCTCCAGTTTCTTGCGGGCGACGAGAATGCTCTTCAAAGCACCTAGCCACTTTGCAAGAGATTCTTCATCTGGTGCGCATAGTCGATACGACTTTTCTTCCGCGATGATTTGAAGACAGAAGTGTTTCGAACGTGACATAGGGTCGACTTCAGCAGCGTCGATCACCTGTGCCATGGGTATGACTTTGACGGCGGAGTATTCCTTCAACATGGCACGGTTAGTCATGACTATAGAACTTGATGCTAGAGGAATAGCTAAATAATAGAATCCATACCTGTTCGTCTTTATAGAAACCAAGGCTTTTCGGGCGCAGCACAACCCATAGTCGCTTCCAGTGGCGCATAGATCCCTTGATTTTGAGGCATTGAAGATACCCGTTGCATACAACTCTCTCCGGGTCACGTAGGACTGCGGACTCATTGCGCGGAATCGAGGAAGGGCCGTCGCTATGAAGTGATGCAGGCTGGTTTTGAATGGAAGGCGATGTCATGCCAACGCCGTTGTTGTTCCCAGGGCCATCGGACCATTCTGAATATGACGTGATATCATTTCCCGAGTGATCATGGGGCGAGGCGAAACGCCTCGAATGGTAAGTGGGTGACAATGAATCTCCGACTTCCGGAGAACTTGGTCGTCCGCGCTGATCAAAATCGGAGTGGTCGGTGGTGTCATAGATGCGGCGCTTGTTGTTTCCGGCGGTGTCGCTATTCTTTGATAAGGCGAGGAAGGCCTCTTCGTCTTCGTCCATGCGGGTTTCTGATCGAATGTGTCGAATCCAAGCTTCGGCCTCTTTTTCCGAAGATGCCTGGAAGCGATAATTCTTCGACGGCGAGAAAACGCCAAAAACGTGCTGTCGGTTGGATCTGGGGGACCTGACCGACGCAACGGCCGTGACCTCAGACAACGTGATAGAGGCTCGGAGCCTCGTGGCCTCCTCATCCTTGTATACCGACAGAAGGTTGGGACGTAGAACGAGATATGCCGGTTTCCAGGAGGCCCTGAATGCCTGGTTTGACAGAGTTAGTTGGTTCTAGACCGAGCTCGGCTGACGGCGCAAACGACTAACATGTTTGTGCTTCACGCGACGAAACACCTTTCCAGTCTTCAGGACCCGATCGAATTCAAAGCTCCCATTTTCATTGACAGGCGAGAAAGTATCCAAGTTGACATGGCCGCTGCGATAGTGAGCGGATTGATTATTCGGGACTAGAAGCGCCGACGTCTGGACGGTGCCATCGGGTAGCTGGATCGCGGGAGCTTTGGGATTCCCTTCTGCAACCGGTGCGTACGATGTGGGAATTGGTTGAGTCATGATTATAGGAAGCTCGTGCTAGGAGTAAAGGTCTGTGTCGGAAATAGCTGTCGTGTGCAAGTGGTGTTCAAACGGCGCGCGAGCGGAGAGAAGGAGTGTATAGCGCTATCTATACCGGCTGGACGGGCACACCGGGACGGCGTCCACTTTAAGAACTGTAACGAGAAAAGATCGATATATAGTGAGTGGTAGTGGTTCGGCAAGATTAGAAGAAGGTAGGCAGAAATATTGGCCAAGTAGTAGTATCTGACTGCTGACGATTAGAGTCGGTCGCGACCGACAGGGTCATGGAGGCTGTGCCAAAAGGAGTGGTGAGCGGGTGGGAAGCGACAACGGGGGGAGGAGCAATGAGGGAATGCGATGAAGTAACGAAGCGCTCGCCGTGACGACAACCAGTAAGTACTAGGTTCACACAGAATAAAGAAGTATCATGACTCAAGTGAAAAAGGCGCAACTCCCTCACCAAACGAATCCCAAGGGTTAGGAGGAGAAAAAGGGGATCCTTTTTCGGGGACGAAAAGAGATGAGGAGAGAGGGGACGGAGGTTCTTTTTCTAATTTTCCCAATTCAACGGGACGCATGGACGTTTTTTTTGTTTTGGAGATCATCTGGGTTTAGTCCCGTTGGAAGCTGGAACCTCGACCCTCGACGGGCTCTTTCTTTCCCCTGCCGTTTCACCTTCGCGCCTTCTGCCATCCTTTTCCTCGCAATGGACCGGTTTTCTCAAACCCCCTTCCTTGAATGGGACTGCAAGACTCCCTTTATGAAACCCTTTGTTGATTTGATTCAGTTTGAAGAAGGGAAGGGGGAGGACGAACAACCACAATAACAATAACCGATGCGGGAAACAATCATAATAACAATAAGTGTGACTGAAACGGGCTGCTATACCTCGTGGGTAGTAGCCATGACCCCGACGACCCCCATTTCTACTATCTACTAGTAGTAGTAGTTATCATCTGCTCCCTCCCGCAACAACCACACCACCACGTTTTTGAGTTTCCAAAGACAGGTCTTCTTCCCCGACATTCTTCGGATTCATCAAACTACGTGAATCATGAACGGATATGATCTCTACTACAATTATACACGGCAGATCCACGGATCTGATTGCCCACACGGGTGGCTAATAATAGTACTATGTATGTACTGTAAGTTATTACTTACTCTCCGGAGAGCATCGAGTAGTAGATAGATAGATAGATGGATGGATTGTCCCTTGACCGCGCTGCAGATCATGACGGACAATACGTAAGTACTACACTACATACAGTACCAGCATTAATGCCTGAAGACGGCCGTGCATGAGATGAGTTATCGTCCCGGCATGCATGTTGCGTGTACCTACATAAGGTGTAGTATATGAAGGGTAGGTAAAATATCTACCGACCTACATGCTTTCACCGACGCATTGGATAATGTGACAGCTCAGCCGCGAAGCTCCGCACGATGCTTCCTCTCGCCATGAAAAAAGACTTGCAGTTATTCTCCCGGTAGTGATGTCATTGGTGAGATCCCGCGATGGACAATGATCAAAACTTACTATGTATGTAGTAAGCTCTGTCAAGCCAGTTGCGCATGCCTTGGGCGAAACTCAAGCGGGCGTTCCTTTCGGAATCCTAACGAGGGCATCCGTCTCTATCCAGGATCCGGGATAGAGACTGCCGTGTCCCAGCAAAGCCTTAAAAGGCCACCTTGACAGATCCCCCCTTAGGACCGGGGTCACGTGTGGGTCCCGGTGGGATTTCAGGGTTCTGGATGCATAAATTACCGGCTCGTAATACCACCAGGTACCAATGGCCCGCTTTTACCATACAATACATCTCCTGCTCAGTCGGGCCGAATTCACCGGCTAGAAACTACTATTAGGGAGTATCTATTCTATCTACTTAACTAACGGTATGGAGTAGTTATCTCCTGGTAAAACACGTAGTTAGGTTGCTAGAGCTAACCTAAGAGATAGTAGTGTAAGAAACTGGACACTAGACTAGATAATTTGCTACAACTTAGTCGACTCCAGATCTCCTATTCTCCTGCCATATGCGTAGGAGATAATCAGTCTTGATTTCATACAATGAATCAACCCCAGCAGAACTTGCATCCGAAAACCGAGTCAGATCTCGGACCCGAGTTGCAGGACATTGAAAGAGACATGCTAACGGGCCCATTTATTACACGACGAACGAGCCATGTCCGTCCGTCTGTCTCTATCGGCATCATGGCTAGGTATGAAGATGAAGGTAAGAAGGTAAAGGTGCTCTCTCATTCCTATAATATTGTAGAGGCAGAGAAAAACAAAACAATAGCTTGAAGCAAGTTAGTGTTGGCCCCTTTTAGGGAAGTTTGTCTTGCCTACTTACTACTACTTACCTAGACACACATGCGTGGTCAAGGGAGAGTGGTTGCATCCCGCGGTTACGAAGCGCGGCCACCAAGAGATCTAAACCCTCTGGTGTCTGACGACGGTCGCGCCAAGCTAACGAACGAGAGGAACTGGTTCTGGAAAACACTAAACATAAATAGAAATCTAATGTGGTCTCTCAACTTCTAATTGCCCTTCAAGGTGGTTCGCCATGCTGATCGTGAACTCAAAGGGTCCAGAAAAAATACCCTTTGACACTTGCTGACGACTGCCAGATTCCACCCGGCCAAAATTAAGAATGATTCAAGGAGGACGTGTTTTGCAGGTTAAGCTTCAGGGTCTTTTGCATGCACCAACTCTCCCAACTCCCAAAGTAAGTACCAAAGGCTGGGTCGGTAAGGCCTGTACAGATAGATTCCTAGTTCTTACCGCCCATCAGGCCCGAAATTTCTCTCGGTGGTGCTGTCTTGACTCGTTTCCCTTTAGTTCCCCCCAATAACCACAGTACAAGGGTTGTGTGGTTTCTATAGTGCCTTTTTTAGACGTAATTTTGGTCATTCTACTAAAGTGCCACCAATCTAACCGACCAAGTCAGCAATAATTTACCGCCAGTGATTTGGTCTGGGAGAAAAGAGGGATTTAGGAAGAGGGTGAAAACGAGACAAGAACGAAAGGGAGAATCAGTTGGACTACCGCAAATAGGCTAAGTGTAATACGTTACCAGAATACCAGTCTGGAAAGGAGAGCCGCGACTCCCGAGCTGGAGGGTAGGCTGTAAATTACCATCTGTGACCACGACCGCTTGCGCCTCCCTGGCCTTGGCGGAACTTCCACCCATCCCCATCCCCAAATAATCCTCTCTCGAGCCTTCATCTCATCGGTTGCCCTCCCGCAGCTCTCGGCTTCCACCCAGCCTCAGCCTGCCACCTCCCCCTCTGATCGCGATTAATGACCTCGTCGACCACAATCGTGTCTTCGGCCTCATTGCTCCGGACACCAGTCCTTTGCGTTGCTGTCGACTTTCCCCCCGCCCACCTCTGCTTGGCCGACTGAGAGGGAAAAGTTGGCGAGAAAGGAGGCTTTCCTCCGGCCGCTCTTTATTTCGACCCTTCGCTTCGTCTAGATCGGGATCCTCCATCCGTTCTCGATTATAATACTCTTTAATCGCTTCTTTGTGTTCTTATATCGCTCGGCTTTGGAAAGTGAAATATAGACCAGAGTCTCGCTCTTCGGCGCTCGCGTGCGGACGTACATATCTCTTTGTCATCGAGATTCCCTTTGGGTTAATATCCGACAAGAGAGGTCTCGATCTGAGAAACTTGTTTCATTTGACTGCTGATATTTGAAAACTACTGTGTGCCATCGCTGTTCAATCAGCCGTGTGGCCCATCTTTTGCACCCATGGGCCTCGTTCAACGGGTTACGAAATGGCTGCCCTCCACGCCGAGTCTGCCCCTAGATGACTCGTCGCGCGAGAAAGGCCGTAATCTGTCCAGATTCGCTTTCTTCAAACGGAGGATACGCTTAAAGGGCAACTCCTCGATCTCGATACCCCTGGGATTTGTTTTACTATTTCCATGCCTTGTAATAGTCCTTATCCTACTACTTTTTGTTCGACATCCTGCTTCCCCTGGGGGGATTCTCATCCCTGCCGGTACTCCGCCTTCTATCAGGTTCGTTCCACTCGCTAGGCACAAGATACATAATTTTCGATAGCTAACCACGCGCCGATTTGACAGGAAAATAAGCGAAAAATATGACAAAGTCTTCGCTACCGGCTGTCTCCCCGTCGAGAAAACCGACGCCCCGCGCGCAAATGCCGCCTTCGTCGTCCTTGCCAGAAACAAGGAATTGGACGGAGTTATTCAGTCGCTCAAGTCCATTGAAAGACACTTCAACCGCTGGTTCCACTACCCTTACGTCTTCCTGAACGATGGTGATTTCGATGACGCCTTCAAGGCGACGGTCAAGAACTACACCAGCGCCCCCGTTGAGTTTGGCAAGATCGATGAGTCCATGTGGGGTTACCCCGACTGGGTTGATCATGAAGTCGCCAAAGAGGGCGTTCGGAAACAGGGTGACGCCGCCATCATGTACGGAGGCATGGAGAGTTACCATCATATGTGCCGATTCTATTCCGGGTAAGTTTCCCAACCATTTCCGCTCCGCTGTCACTAATCCTGACCGTTGAATAGCCACTTCTACAAGCACCCCCTGCTCATGAAATATGAATGGTACTGGCGTCTTGAGCCAGAGATCAAGTACTTCTGCGATATTACATAGTACGACCCTCCCACGGATCCTTGCGTATCGGTAGTATACTGACATCCTAATCAGTGATCCATTCATCAAGATGGCGGAAGCAAACAAGACCTACGGCTTCACGATCGCTGTCAAGGAGCTTCGCGAGACCGTCCCCAATATCTTCCGTTACGCATCTGCCTACAAGCGGAAACACAACTTGGAATCAAAGGGATTGTGGGAGATGTTCCTGGAGAAACCCGAAGAAGAGCCTAAGCCCGAGGAGGAAAAGCAAGAGAAACTCCCTGAGGAGATCCTCCAAAATGAGCCTGGTGAAAATACTGTTCCCGATGTTGACCCGGAAGCCATGGAAGGCGAGAAGTACAACATGTGCCAC